CTGCAGAGAAAATGTAACCCTGCATGCTGCTGCCCCCTGGTGGCAATATTCCTAACTCAACAAAAACAGGGTTTGGGAACCTTTTATGTAACTCTTCAAAGTCAAATGAGAGAGTGACAACAGCTCCTAACATGGTGTCCACAGATCACCTTCCTGTGCGGAGACAACCGGTGCCCGCTCATTAGTCATGCCCGTGGAGCTCGCGTCCTGCCCCCTTGCCCACCGCGTCAAACCTTGCCAGGCGTTCCTGGGACTTGATTGCACATCTGTGCCTCTGGCCACCTGCCATTCCTTACTCCAGGCTCCCTTACAGCACTTACCAAGGCTTCTTTGCAGTGAGATAGTAGTACATGAGCTCTGTTTCCTCAGCATGAGATGAAATGGTGAAGCACAGACCAGCCACTGGCTGCTCCCAGAGGTACATCACTTGAGTACTTTTCTCTCTCCACCTGCGAGTCAAGTCTTGTAGAAGCCCGGTCTTGAAACCTCACCCACTGTCCTCAGCCCAGCGGCCTCCACTCGGAATCACCACTCAGAATCATCCACCAGGAGAGGGGAGACGGGAGCAGTATACACAGGCCTCCTTCCCCAGTTAGTCCAGGGGTGTTTGGGCACCTTCTCCTCAAGGTATGGGGCCTATTCGGATGTCACTGCTGTAGCCCCTTCTAGTGGTCCAAGCAGGAAATATATGTATGGATACACATATTTCTATATCAACCAATCCATATGTAGTTTGAAATCATGATTTCACACTGATACTTCTGAGCCTAACGCCACAGGGTTCTTTCTAGCCTTTTCTGTTTTCCTATTTGTAACTACTTTCTCCGGCAGTGAGAAACATGGCCCTTCTTACCCACAGTGGATTTCCTTCTGTGTTTAATTCTGGAATGCATAGAAAGCAGTTTCAGAATTGCTACCTTATATACGTGTCAAAAGCAAATTTGCTGGAGGCCAGTATTTGTCCATGGTTCCTCTTTAGCTTTTCAATAAGGAGGCAAAATGCCGTTTTCCAAAGTGACTAAGGCTAGCTCTTTTCTTCCCTAATTCCTTCAATGTGATTACGCTGTTGGTGCATTTTTAATACGGCTAAATACATTTGTTGCTGTTTGTGCTTTAATTTTGAGTCGCTCTAGCTCCACCACGACCACCATCCTTGATTTTATTTATTTGTGGGATGTGAAACACTCTCATGGTTCGAAAAGTCAGAATGACACAAACACGTGTACTCAGGTAAGTGGCAACCCGCCCCCCCCAACCCTTTGTACCCCGTTCCTGATCTCCCATTCTCTCCACACCACCCTCACTCCACTCCTGCCAGTCCCGATTTCATTATTTCCGTGTTTATCCTTTCTGTTACTATTGTTTCTTTCCTTCCGTAATCTTTCTGTTACTTTCTATTACTCTGTGCACAAACGAGCAGACGTGTGTTTTCTTATGTCCCCTTTTTCCTTACGTGGAAGATAGTGTACTACGGACGTTTCTCTGCACTTTTGTTCTCTTGACAATAATACAGATGCTGTTTAAATGATGTGCTTAGAGGACAACACCAAGAGGGTGTGAATGTAAATACCGAAGAAAAGGGACCCAGGGAAGAGACTTGGAGCTCCCCAACATTAAGAGATCAGGGATAAGAGGAGAAATCAGCACAGAACGCTGTGAAGGAATGACCGGTCAGGTAAAATCAAAACCCAGAAGCATAGTTAAGAAAGTGTGTCACTGGGGGGCGCCTGGGTGGCGCAGTCAGTTAAGCGTCCGACTTCAACCAGGTCACGATCTCGCGGTCCGTGAGTTCGAGCCTCGCGTCAGGCTCTGGGCTGATGGCTCAGAGCCTGGAGCCTGTTTCCGATTCTGTGTCTCCCTCTCTCTCTGCCCCTCCCCCGTTCATGCTCTGTCTCTCTCTGTCCCAAAAATAAATAAACGTTGAAAAAAAAAAAAT